GTATTTCTTTGGCTACTATCCTTAGTGCAAGCCACCTTCACCTTTAGTCTGGACCCTTACCTAGTCCATGTTTCCTCTCTGATTTGCCCCCCTAAATTCTCTTCTCTATTCAATAGGCAAAGGAGTCTCTTTAAAATGCAAATTTGAAAAAAATAAATAAAATGCAAATCTGATCAAGTCACTTCTCTGCTAAAAATCTCCAATCTCTTCTTACTATACTGAAGATAAAATCCTAAGGCCTTCCTCTGGTGTACAAGGCCCCGTGTAACCTAGCTTGACAGGCTAATGCATTCCCTTCTGACACTCAGACATGCCAAGCACATTCTCACTTCAAAGTTTTGGTCCTGCTGTCCCTTCTGTTTGAGTACTCTTTCCAGATCTTTGCATGGATGATGCCTTATTATTCAGATCCCTGCTCAAGGGCAGTGGAGAGTAACGGTGACAAGCATGACTTTAGAGCCAAACTGCTTGGATCTAAATCTTGGGCTTCACTACTTCCTAGCTGTGTGAGCTTCAGAAAGTTACCCAGCCTCTCTGTGCCCTCGTTTTCTCACCTGTGGTAGGTGTTATAACAATACCTACATCATAGGATTTTTTTGAGGTTTAAATGCATTAACATTTGCTTAAAAACATACACACTAAGTAAATATTGTTTAAGTGTTTGTTTAAAAATTAAAATATTTCCTCAAAAAAATCATTCTTTGACCCATTCCATGTTACTACCTACCTCATGACAGTCACTTAACATGAAAGTGCCTTATTTTTTTAAATAGAAAATTTATTTAATATATTTTATGATAAAATATATGAGAAATGACCCCAAAGATACAAATGTAGTGATCCGAAGGGGCACGTGCACCCCAATGTTTATAGCAGCAATGTCCAAAATAGCCAAACTATGGAAAGAGCCCAAATGTCCATTGACAGATGAATAGATAAAGAAGATGTGGTATATATATATATATACACACACACACACACGCACACACACACACACACGCACACAATGGAATATTACTCAGCCATCAGAAAGGATGAATACTTACCATTTACATCAACGTGGATAGAACTGGAGGGTATTATGCTGAGCAAAATAAGTCAATCAGAGAAAGACAATTATCATATGATCTCACTCATATGTGGAATTTAAGAAATAAAACAGAGGATCATGGGGGAAGAGAGGGAAAAATAAAACAAGATGAAATCAGAGAGGGAGACAAACCATAAGAGACTCTCAATCATAGGAAACAAACTGAGGGTTGCTGCAGGGGAGGGGGGGTGGGGGGATGGGATAACTGGATGATGGACATTAGGGAGGGCACGTGATGTAATGAGCACTGGGTATTATATAAGACTGATGATGAATCACTGACCTCTACCTCTGAAGCTAAATGATATACTATATGTTAATTAATCGAATTTCAATTAAAACAATTTAAAAATATATGTGAGAAATGCTACCCACCTGATTTAATTGCATTTAAGTATTTAAGAATATTTTATGATAAAATTATATATACATATGTGAAAATTAATATAAATGTTTGGAATATTATTTTTTTAATTGCAAGTGCCTTATTTTTATTTCCATTTTGGCACTTGCCATTTTCAGCACTTATTTGTGTGTGATTGGCTCTCCCACTAGACTGAAGCGTCATGGCATCAAAGACTTTGTCTTACTCCTTAAAGACCTGCAATCCCATCTCTCAGAACAGTGCTTATGTTCTCAATAAAGATGTACCCAATGAAGGAACCAGAGTTCGAATCCTGACTCGACCAGTGCGCTGGCTTTTATCTAGATACTTGACCTCTCTAGGCCTGAATTTCTCAACTACAAAATGCAAAATAATATCTACACCTCATAGGATTGTTGTCTGGTATATATGCCAAAATGTCAAGGGTGATTTTCTTTGGGAGATGGGATTAAAGGGTATTTATTTTTTCCTTTTGCTCATCTATATTACTTTAAAAATAATGAGCATGGATTTCTTTTGTAATTCATAGAACTTTAAATTTAAATAATATTTGTGAAGGATTTAACACAGGGCCTGATTCATAGTAGGTATTTAATAAACAGCCTATCTTAATGCTACTAAGCTTTTCAATAGCCTGGAAATACTTCCTCTATGGCACCGAGCTGTTGACTCATACCCCAGTCTGAGGCTTAGGGCTCCCAGCTGGGAGGACCAGCTCCTTCTCTCTGGTCAGTTTCAGAAATCAAAATGGAGGAAGGAAGTTAGGTAGGTGGCCCTTAGCTGAGGGGCTTCTCTTTTTGAGACCAGCTCCTTCTTACCCTTTAGAGCCCAAGTTCACCTCCTGATTCTGGGTGTATGAGCTTTTGTCAGTGCTTAGTATGCATCCCACACCCTGAAGGCTGCAGAGAATATTAACACAGCAAATCCTATTGTTTATTTCCCCCCAAATCATTTTCAGTGCTGAGGAAAGAGATTGTGTCCAGCTGCTGGAATGTAATCAGAAACCAATCTGTGCAGCCCTGGAAGACAAGGCTGATACAAGGCTGTGATTCTCCAGCCAGTGAATTTCCCCACGTGGGAGAGGGGCTTACCCGCCCCTCCCCAACATGGTGGGTAGACTGAATGCTTGCTCACTAGGGGCTGGGGGAGGAGAGCGGGACATCCCTGGCACAGCTGCTAATGGTGCAGGAGGCAGGGGAGCTGGGATGAGCCTTCATTTTTCATCAAGAATCCTATGGCTTTTGCTGTTGTCAGGGTATCTGTCAGAGCAGCCAATTCTAGTCAGGGCTTCTGGGTCCTAATGACCTACTTTCTCCTTGCCCCTCTCAGACTCTGTGGCGATTATATCTTTGAAGATTAGCTTGAAATAACTTGAAAGTCATTGTTCTTGTTCCCAGCAAGCGAAGGAGAAACATAGATTCTCAGAGCAGGTGAAGGGCTCTGTGGCTTTCTCGAAAATGGTGGCAAATGAGAAACGAGACGGGAGATCCAGGAGCCTGCAATGTGAAGGACTCCACGGCTGCTAGATGATTTGCAGTTCTAAAACTTGTGTTACTGTTAAACTTCAGGGGACAGGCCGGTAGGCGTTATCTGGCTTTCTGGGGTCACTACCCTCAGGCTAGTGAACCCAACCCAGGGTGGATTCTGGGTGGGTCCACCATCCAAGGACACACTAAGCCAAAGTATGGTTTTAATCATCTAAAAGAAGGTCCAGAAAAGGCAAAGACAGGTCACTATAGGTATTGATTCATGGAATCCAGAGCCCTGTGAGAAGAGATTCTAGGGATGAATTCTTGATTCTATCCTACAGCAGCCCCATTCATCCGTTCACCAAAGAAAGCAATTTTTAAGCAGCTGAAGCTCCTATGGTATGTCCTGCACAAAGCAGCAAGTATGGTGTACAAACACACAAGTCCGAGGGTCGCATTCTCTAGTTTGAAAGCCTGATTAGCTGTGTTCCAAGGGCAAGTCGCTGTGACTCAGTTGTCTCCTTTGTAAAACAGGGCTTGGAAACTGCCTTCTAGTTTTTTTGTGAGAAGAAAACGAGGCAGTCCATGCTCAGTGCTTAGCATAAGTTTGGCACGTTCGAAATACTCCATAAATGAGTTGTTATCATAATCTCAACGGAAGACAACAGAAAACTTAAAGTCTTGGTCCCTGACCTTGAGATGCTCGTAGGAATGTGCTCAGCTGACGACCTGGCATGGACTACGAGTCGGGTTATCTTGTTCTGGGATAACTGAGCTTCCCTTACAACCTTCCTCCAAACTCCCAGAACTGAAGGCTGCTGGCGATGGTAGCCTGGCCATGAACTAGATCCGGCAGCTCACCTCTCCGTTCTAGCGGACACTCACTTCCCGCACCTCCCATAACGTTCCCTTTCTGCCACTTCTTACACTACTTTCTAACACCCCCTTCTGTTCGTCAGGCTGAGACAAAATACCGCATCACCTGAAGCTGAGGTTGAAAAACAACCCAATCACTGCTGCTCGAAAATAAATTCCCTTGTTGATGGCGTTTCTTGGTGAACGATTCCCTTTAATGCGGGGCCTTCCTAGAGCAGAGATAAATGAGCCAATTTGGCTCTCCAGAGTTCATCTTCTGCCTGGGCCAAATTACCGCAGGAAATCCAGAATTATAATTTGTTTGTGTGATCATTAATTCATCGAATGGCAAATTCCTCACAAACCACGGCGATGGAGAGAAATTATTAACAAACCTATTATGTTTAATGTGCATCTCTTTGAAAAAAGACAGCTAACAATCCATCTGAAGGTGTCAGTGCAAGTGCTAAAAGTAAGAATAGCTAATTTTTATTGAGCACAGTCTCCCGGCCAGTCAGCATTCTCAACATTATACATACATGAACTCATTTCGCCCTCTCATCCACCCTGGGAGATAAGTGCTATTACTAACCCAGCTTACAGATGAAGAAATTGAGGCACAGAGAGGTTATGAAACTTCCCAAGGTCATACAGTCGATGCATAGTAGGATCAGGATTCAAATCCAGACAGCTTGATTCCAGAGTTGAGGTTCTTAGCTTCCTAGTTTACTCAGTCACTAGGTGTTTATTGAGAACTCCCTAGGTGCCAGGCATTGTGCTGGCTCCAGGGGATTCAAAGAAGAACGGGATGTAGTCAGTTCCTTCTGGGGGCTTGGAGTCTGCCTGGGGAGTCAAGTGGAGCTTGATTTCAACTGGAGCACTCTGGTCCAGGGAGGGATGCTGAATGATGAGTAAGAGTTTGCCCATCAGAAAAAGGGAATGGAAGCGAAGAGTGTTTCAGAAAAACTCTGAGAGAAAGACAAGTATCATATGATTTCACTGATATGAGGAATTTGACAAACAAGACAGGATCATAGGGGAAGGGAGGGTAAAATGAAACAAATTGAAACCAGAGAGGGAGACAAGTCATAAGAGACTCCTAATCTCAGGAAACAAACTGAGGGTTGCTGGAGTGGAAGGGGGTGGGAGGGATGGGGGGCTGGGTGATGGACATCGGGGAGGGTGTGTGCTATGGTGAGTGCTGTGAATTGTGTAAGACTGTTGAATCACAGACCTGTACCCCTGAAACAAATAAGACATCATATGTTATTAAAAAAATTAAAAAAAAAAGAAAAAGAAAAACTCTGAGAGAAACCAAGCCATGCAGGGGGGCCTCCAGATTGCTTAGCACTGGTTTCCTTTCTCACACAAAATCCTAGCAAGGCTGCCCATTCCTACAAACTCAACCCACTCAGCGATAAGTCCACAAACTACCCAGAAGAGAAATATCAAACCAATTCTTTTGAGCAGATCCTTTCTGCGAACTGAGCACATGGGTTTCCTGGAGTCTCAAGTGCTATTTGATCTCCTTAACATGCTGTTCCCTCTAGAGGGATTTGGCGTTTAATCTGTTTGGTTTCTTCTTTTCCCATAAGATTAAAATCCTCTCCCTCTTGTTCTTGAAATCTCTGATTACTCAGAGATGTGATCAGTGACTTACAACATTTCAGCCGGGGAAAGGGAAAAAGCAGGGTGTTGCCTGGTGGCTGATGGCATCTGGACAGTGCCTCCTTCTTGCATAAGAGGGAATGACACGAGATCAAGTCACAGTCATCCATTCTCCTTTGAATCTTCTCAGAAAGCTGGCTTTGCCCTGCCTACATTTACCTGGTAACATAGGCAGACTGCATCAAGAAGAGTCCCCTTTTTAATGCTGGGAGGCCCCAAAGGAGCATCTCACTCTGCCAAGGTCTCCCCCTTAAGCAAGCATGCTAATCCTAAGGAATGGTATAGCTCATTTCTCAAGGTGAATAGCAAAAGGGGAGAGATCAGAGGGTCAAAAAAATGATCTCGAGAGACTTCTTATAGCTTGAATTTATCAGCTTAGAAACCAAAGAACAGGGGGATACCTCCTGTTCTTACTGAGGACCAGACCAGGTTAATTTTTTCCCCTTATTATGCCTTCATTAAGAAGCTCAAAGTGTCAGTCATTCCCTCTAAGACTGGGAAATCTTTTTCTTCAGTTCTGTCCTCTTACCTGAGGGTCCAACTCCTCGTGTGAGAGTCTACTTAGATATCACTGCCAATCTAAACCCAGCAGGTCTAGCACCCAATGTGAAGAATGAACCAGATTTTCTCCTATTTCTGTTAGTCAATATAGTTATGGACCTCAAAACTTTTCTGGTATCTTTGAAACTACCATGGTTCCTAAACGTCTGTCTCCCACTGTTTTCTTCTCACATCTGTTGTCCCTACCTTGGCCATGCTCCCTCGCTATGTGGCTGGATTTCCAAAATGCCTTCCTCTGCAGCCTCCACCTCCAGCCCCTATAGTCCACCCAGGAACACGGGGCCACTGGATTTCTCTTCTGGAAATAACTACATTTATCATGTGACTCCCCCCGCCCTTTCCACCCTTCAAAGCACCTGGTGGCTCCTCTGTTCTCAGAAACACACCCAACTTCCTCCAAATGGCTTTCAAGGCCACCATGGTCTGTGTCCATCTGTGTCGCCCCCTGGTGTCTCCTCCGGGCTTGAGAAGAGTCAGTTCACCAGACTGCTCCTTGTCATTCGTTGCTTCCCCAAGGAGTGCCTTTTGCTGAGATGACCAGAGCTGATGACTTTCAGGAAATGGAGTGGATGAGCTGGAAAAATCCTTGGAGACAGCAGGAAGGACAGATAGGGCACTGCTGTCCTTCAGGGCCCTCCTTCTCACCTTGCCTGTTCAGATGCATCCCAGGCAGCGTGTTGCAAATGGAGCTGAAACCCTATCCCGTTTATTCTTGTTCATATTAGCACAATGTTTGGTGAGCTCTTTATCAAGGACTGACAGGTTGGTGCCCATCAAGGGAGGCTGAGCGCATTCATCACCGCAACTGGGCTGTGCCTCAGCCTGGAAAGACCGGGACTACCCCTTGCCACTTCCCCGCGGCTGTCCAACCTCGCACTTGGCCTGCTCATAATTGAAAACCTCCCACTCCTGTGACCTGCAAGAGGCAGATGAAAAGCAATTGACTGGCCAAGCCCAGGTCCGCAGGGCAACTGAGTTCTGAACCAAGTTATTTGTTGGAGCCAGGCTGCGGCGGCTGAGTGAGAAGAGGTCTGGGGCAGAGGTGAGATCAGAGTCCTGAGGTATCATCACCCTGCTGACTCTCGAAGCCAGTAGAGTGAGGCTGGAGGTGGCAGGGAAGTCACCAGCTCCAGAACTTCTATGGAGGAGCTAAGGGTGACACTTTGACTGGAAGAAGGGGTTAGCAGACTGTTTTAATGATGAAACTGCACAAAAAGCATTTTTTTAAAAATTAGACTGTTCATTGGGGTGGCTTGTGGGGGCTGGTGGAGATAATGGAGGTGGTCACACAACTCCCCCATACTAGTCGCTGATACTTGTCTTTCAATGCCCTTCCCCCAATCTGCTCTGTACCACAGGGGCCAATCCCCGAAAATGACATTTCCCAGGCTCCCTTATCCCCTGGATTCTGAATGAATGAGAGGCACTGGCAGGAGATTGGAGGCCAGGAGGTTCCGGAAGGCTAAGTGTTTCACCCCGGTTGCCGTTCTGAGCAGCACCTCAAGGACACTCTGTATCTCTTTTGTGACCCCAGCCTCCAAGGGCGGCCCTTGCCTTAGTTCCAGCTCCCATAGGGTGGTCCTGCTCCTGCGAGAAGTTGCCATCATGGCCTCCCTCTCTCTCCAGCCTAGGCTTGAAAGGAACTTCCTACAGTTGCTCACTTGGGGCTGCTACATGCTCTTGTTTGCTCTTTGAACTCTCCTACAATCTATAATACTGACTTCCCCTTGTTAAGTTCCTTCTACAGAACTCTGAGGCATGGATGCGCTTTCCTGACTGGACCTTCTCTCCTAAACTGTGCCTTGGCACATCACTAAGCAGAAACAGATTTGAGGGCAGCCATCCAGGGAGGGTGTGGCTTAGAACCACTGCCTTGAGCAGCGGCCTGCCATCTTTTCACCCTGCCACACAGCCTTCTGGAAGAGAGTCATAGGGGGTCACAAATATGAAGGGTTCCTGTTACCCCAGGGATCCTGTTAATTATGTACCGTGTTAAATAGTGCAGGCTTTTCTCCCTGAACAATGCATGGCCTATTAATGTGCTGCCTGGGTGTTGGTGAGGGACTGAGAGGAAGGAGGAGAAAGAGATGCTGCTCATTTGGGGAACTCCCAGCCAGAGGAGGGACTTGAAACCAGACAAAGGACAATGGGCATGTAGAACCGATGCTTTCCCCCCAGGCTCACGTTCCCTACCTCACAGCCCAATCCCACGCCTCTGCCGCCTCTGCCACCTGAACTTGTCAGCAAGTAGTCAGGAAGTAGAAACTTACCCAAACATCAGCCTCAGACACAAACAGCCAATTAACACATATTTTGTGTGTGTGATATGTATTCTATACTGTATTTTTACAATAAAGCTAGAGAAAAGAAAATGTTCTTTTTTTTTTTTACTACTTTGGCTTTTTAAAAAATTTTATTTTATTATGTTAGTCACTATACATTACATCATTAGAAAAGAAAATGTTCTTAAGAAAATCATAAGCAAGGGACATCTGGGTGGCTCAGTCGGTTTGGCGACTGCCTTTGGCTCAGGTCAAGATCCCAAGGTTCTGGGATCAAGTCCCACATCAGACTCCTTGCTCAGTGGGGAGCCTGTTTTCCCTCTGCCTGCCGATCCCCCTGTTTGTGTTCTCCTCTCTCTCCCTCTGACAAATATATAAAATCTTAAAAAAAAAAAAGAAAATCATAAGGGAAAGAAAATGCATTTATAGTACTGTGCTGTATATACTGAAAAAATCCACATGTGAGTTGACCCATGCAGTTCAAACCCCTGTTACTCAAGGGTCAACCGTATAGACATAGTCTTATTGATTAAATGTGTTAAAATGGATTGAGACATATACTGGGATGTAGGTGGTTGACGTGAGATTCCCTCTCACTGTTGGGTGTTCTTTACTCTGAATTGCTGAATGAGCAAAAAACCTCACCAAGGACCCAAGATAAAAGGTTGTGGTCCCAGATCCTAATGTAAAAGAAACCCCCCTCCCTTCATTTTCTTGGATACTGAGAACAACAAAAGTGAACTGACATGAATGTTGGTGTTCTCTGTTTGAGGAGGTTTCAATGGAATTAGGGTAATTGGGAGGGGGAGTCAGTTGGTGAGAGAAAATGCTGTTTAAGTTGGGGGTACGACACGGCACCATTCAGTCCAAACATCTCATCTCACAGATTGGGGAACTGAGAGCCACAAAAGGAAAGGGGTTTGAGGTTGAGGCTTTGGGAGAGAGTCAGATTGGAAGATTGCAGGGCTGGGGGCTGCCAGCCAGGGCAAGAACTAATGGCTAAGACCTGAGTCTTGAGGGAAACCTACAGCTAGGAACAAAAGAGAGAAGATACGCTACAAAAATACACTTAAATGGGAGAACAAGAATAGTTCAGTGCAATGGAAGCCAAAGGAGAGGATTTTGAGAGGAAAAGAGTAGCTGAGAGTAGCAATCGCCCCAAAGCCATCAAGGAAATAGGACATAAACAATTGTTGGATTTGCAATACAATCTTTAAAAGTGAGGTTTTAAAAAAGTGACAGGGATGGAAAGGTAATCAAAGAGGGGATGTGGGTGTGTTCTGAATACTGAACACTGATGTCTCAATTCTCCCGACCCGGAGGTGGTGGTGCTGAGGTGAGGGGGAGGTTGGCCCAGCCGTGGGGCAGAGATGGGAAGAGGGGTTGTCTGACACTGAAGGAAATGCTCAAATCAGGAACCAGGAGTCAGGCAGGGAGCTGGTTTCCTAGAAAGGGGTTAGAATGAGCCCCCAAACCTGAATGGCCAGAAACATAGACTGAAAAATGAAGGTAAAGAGCCAGAGACTGAGAACCAGGATCTGCTCAAAGAGGAGGGAAGGCCCAGGAGCAAGGAGGGAGCAGTCTGGGTATATCCAGCACAGTACTATAAATGTATTTTCTTTTCCTTATGATTTTCTTTTTTTTTTTTTAAGATTTTATATATTTGTCAGAGAGAGAGAAAGAGAGGAGAACACAACTCAGGTAGTTGTCCCAGGCTGGCTTTGTGTATCTGCCACAGCATGGTGCCTGGGAGCAGGGCGAGCCTCATGGGCACACAGCCTGCCCCAGTCCCACAGGGGTTTGCTGTCAGAGGGCCTGTGCCTGGTGCAATGCTCTGTGGCACCCTCTTGAAATTCTTAATAATCCTATCTTCCAACTTGTGGCTTTTATATAAAGGCCGATGGACAATGGGGCATGCGTGTGAACTTAGCTGTGTGCAACAGGAGCATCTGCCTCTGCTCCTCACCTACCCATTTGCATTTGGCACCTGTGGTGGTCCCACGAGCACAGAATCCCCATAGGACATATGTGCGGATTCCAAGGGTAGAAGGTGAACCTGTAGCCTATGTGACCGAGTAACTGAGCCAGAACCTGCTTCCAGTGTGGAACAACAGCCGCGGTGTTCTAAGAAGTGCAAATGACCAAGGAGGCCCGTCATATCCTTTCTTACTCCTGCTGCTTCCCTGTTGTAACCAACCGCTGAAAAGGATGACATAGAAGGAGACGAAAGGACAGGACAACCCAAAGTCCCTTTTCCCTTCTTGCTTCTCGGTGAGCTGAAGGCAGAGCACCGAAAGAAAGTGCACGTTCTCAAGAGGTAAGATGAAATCGTTAACTTCATTTTGGGCAGTGTTCCTACTGTTCTGGCAGTAATGAAATACATATGCATGAAGAGCGAGGAGATGCAAATGGTGTTCTTTCAGTGATTCTGCATATGAACTAAGTGCTCTTACAGTTTCACTTAAAACTGACCTTATACAATATAAAAAGAAGGGAAAATCCATACTAAAAGTTAACATTTTAACATTTTCTTAGGATGAAGTTAAATACCAAATAGAGTCAAAAGAGGGATAATGGAAGAAAAGAAAAATTTTATATTGTAGTGACCTTTAATAGCACTTTTTGTCCCCTGGGTTTTGAACAAGGGGGCCTGCATTTTCATTTTGTGCAGGGCCCTGCGAAGTATGGAGCCAGCCCCAGGTTGGAGAGCTGGCCGTGTTTGTATGGCCAGGGCCAAAAGGTAGTGCTGGGGCCACAAAGAGTGGGAAGGAGTCATCAATAATTTGACAAACACGAGTCTTGGTCACCAGCCCTGAACGCTCACCAACCCTCCCACGACATTGATGACAATGACCACAGGTGGGGTGTTAAGAAAATAACTCTCATGAAACTCTGGTCTTGCCTCTCACTCTTAAAGCACCCCACCACATCCAACATTTCTGCTTCTGTTAACAAACCAAGAACTGTTCCATGTTTTAATATGCTTTGCTTATGCTCTTCCTTCTGGCTGGAATGTTCTTTCTGTCATTTGCCAGGCTCCAAGTAGTGGCCCTTAAGAGGCCAGGCCCGCAGGAGCACAGACCTTCAGCAAGAACCTCACATGGGC